TTTTTTTGGAGACAGGGTCTCACTCTGTCACCCAGGCTAGAGTGCTAGAGTGCAGTGGCAGGATCATGACTCACTGCAGCTTCAACCTCCAGGGCTCAAGCAACCCTCCCATGTCAATCTCCCAAGTAGCTGGGACTACAGGAGCATGTGACCAGGCAGGCCTGGCTAAATTTTTTTGTAGAAACAGGGTCTCACCATGTTACCCAGGCTGGTCTTGAACTCCTGTGCTCAAGCAATTCACCTGTCTCAGCCTCTCAAAGTGCTGGGATTACAGCACTTTGAGCTACTGCACCCAGCCCAAGTGTTTCTAGGACACAGAGGCATATACCAAGGCAAACAATATTTAGCATACACTAGGTGGGCAGCTATTTTATGAAACTCTGTAACCTTTGATAATCACAGTTATAGCACCATAATGTTGTGCCTTGTAACAGAGACATTCTTGTAATGGAAACCTAGAGACAAGTAGAGATTGTATTAACATGGTTTGGTATGTTTACGCACACCTACATACCTTTCCATGACCACGTATGTATTGCAATAGGTAATTTTTTTTTATAGTTTTTTAATTAATTAATTTTTTTTTTTGAGACGGAGTCTCGCTCTGTCACCCAGGAGTGCAGTGGCACGACATTGGCTCACCACAAGCTCCGCCTCCCGGGTTCACGCCATTCTCCTGCCTCTGCCTCCTGAGTGGCCGGGACTACAGGCACCTGCCACCACGCCCGGCTAATTTTTTGTATTTTTAGTAGAGACAGGGTTTCACCATGTTAGCCAGGATGGTCTTCATCTCCTGACCTCGTGATCCGCCCGCCTTGGCTCCCAAAGTGCTGGGATTACAGGCGTGAGCCACCACGCCCGGCCTATAGTTTTGTTTTGTTTTTAACATTTTTTAATAATAAAAAAATAGAGATAGGGCATGTCTCACCATGTTGTCCAGGCTGATCTCAAATTCCTGAACTCAAGAAATCCACCCACCTTGGCCTCCCAAAGTGCTAGGATTATAGGTGTGAGCCACCATGCCTGGCCCAGAATTTTAATTAACAGATAAATTTATATAGCGAGGGTGCATTCTTTCCTGGGATCTTGGAGCAAGCCCAGCCATTCTTTGCCGGCTATGGAATTGAAGCCCCTGCTGTTGCCACTTTGAAATGGTCTTTGGAGGAAAGCAGTTGAGATTAGCCCATGGTCCTATTAGAGAAGGCACAGTTCCTGAAAGGGTGTACATTGGTTATAGAGCCTAGAGAGTTTGTATTAGTCCTGAATAAAAGGCCCATGCAGGAGAATGGGGAACATGGAGGGCAGAAGTTTGTACTATAATTAGCTCTAGGACTAGCACAGATGGGGGAGGGAGGGGAGTGCAAGCAGCATCTATTTTGAGCACATCTGCGATTGATGGGACACGTGTGCTGGACTGTAATGATCCCAGGGCCAAGTTGCCTGCCTGTGGTGTGTGGTGTGGGGGGGAGGCCTGGGGCAGCAGGAGCAGGACAGCCGGACAGGAAGGCCGGACGGGGTTCGAGCACTTCAACTTCTCTCCCTGAGACACTGTTCCAACTCCGGGGGCCATAGGCCAAGCTGAGTGATGGGTGCTGAGGAGGAGGTGCTGGTCACACTATCAGGGGGAGCCCCCTGGGGCTTCCGACTTCAGGGGGGGGCCGAGCAGAGGAAACCCTTACAGGTGTCTAAGGTAAGGGAGAGCCCCTGAAATGAGGCTTCAGGGAAAGGGAACCCAAGGGTTCCTGGGAAAAGATGTGTGGTGGCATATGGTGGGGTTTGTGGGGGTGGGAGCCTGTGAAGATGGGGTGGGTAGTGGGCAGGGAAGCATGCTCAAGTCTCATAGTGGGAGTAGCATCTGACCACAGGCTTCTTGTGGGGGGTCTATTAGAAAACAGAATTCTTGGTTTTCAGGGAGCAGAGGAAAAAGAAAGACTCTGTTTTAGTTCCCTACAGCACTGTGGTATCAGAGGCCCAGCTCTGGTCATCCAGTGTTTGTTCTCTTGAGTATGTACCTCTACTCCAAACTCCAGAAATACAGGGAAGGTTCTAATTTCTCTCTGACTAAACTGATATGTGATGAACTGAAACTGCCTCGCACAGCCTAGCCCAGCCCAGTCCTACCCTGGCTCACCCTGCTCTGCCCATGCCTTCAGTGCTCTTTCCCTAGGTCAGATCCTTTCTCTCACTAGGCAAGACTTTTTTAGGTGCTAGGAGGGTTATGGCAAGATCTGGCTTCACAGACGTAGTCGTTACCCTTTTGGTTTCACCCCACAGGCTTAGTTTTCCGAACTGTAAAATGTGGGTAATAATAGTACTTGTACCTACTTTATGGAACCATTCTAAGGATTAAATGCAATAATACATGTAGCACAGTGCCCAACACTTAGTAAAAACTCAATAAATGGTAGCCACTACTACTATTATTACTTTGGCATACATACATTTGTGTGTACACATGACACACATATACCCAAATAATCACAATCTCCCAGAATCCCACTGGACTCCCTCCAACCTGGAGTACTGTTCTAAAATCTTGACTGTGTAATGGCACCTGGGGTTCCAAGGCCTAGTAGAGAATTACCGGCCAATATAGATACTGCCTTTGAAGAAAAAGCTTATGGAGATAACCAACATTCCTTTTCATTTTTTTTTTTCTTTTTGCCACAGTCTTACTCTATTGCCCAGGCTGGAGTGCAGTGATGTGATCTTGGCTCACTGCAACTTCTGCTTCCTGGGTTCAAGTGATTCTTTTGCCTCAGCCTCCCATCTGGGACTACATGTGCCCGCCACCACGGCCGGCTGATTTTTGTATTTTTAGTAGAAACAGGGTTTCACCCGTTGGCCAGGCTGGTCTTGAACTCCTGACCTCAAGTGATCCACCCGCCTAGGCCTCCCAAAGTGGCTTACAGGTGTGAGCCACTGCGCCCAGCCAGTAACCACCATTTCTAGTACCTACCCCATGTGGTTCTTCCCAAGCCTCTTTCATTCAGTGGTTACCCTATTTCCCACTATATGGTGTATTTCTTTCTCCAATCTGTATACTTTCTTCCCTCTAGACAGACCACTTCAACTGCAGCCACTTCCATGCATCTCCCCACCTTTCTTACCCTACAAAGTAAAATCCCCTCCTATGGGTCCTTCCTGTCTTTTCCTTTCATTCTATTCCCTTTGGAGCCCTCTCTTACCTACAATGTCTCCTTCAACATCTCAGATTCGAAGACGGAGCCAGGCTGGCAGAGCAGGACTCCGAGAGAAGGACCAGCTCTTGGCAATCAATGGGGTCTCTTGCACCAACCTCTCCCATGCCAGTGCCATGAGCCTCATCGATGCCTCAGGAAATCAGCTTGTCCTCACTGTGCAGCGGTATGGACCTCCCTCCTCTTCTCTTCCCCTAATCCAGGACTCCCATTGCCTGTCTCAGCTCTGTGTCTCACTGGCCTGGCTTTAGCAACTAACAGGTACCTATTTCTGCTCGTGCATTTCTGCTGGAGTGTAGATGGTTTGTGTCTGCCTCCCAGAGGGCTTGAATGTATCTGCAATTAAGGGATGGGGATGTCAGTGGGTATTTGACTGATGGGCCTACTTCAACCCCTGGCCTGTCTCCTCATTACATCTTCCTCTAAGCCTGTTTCCACTTACAGCCCTTTAAGCACATTTGCCTCCCAGCTTGTCTTCATATCTTCACTCTTCCCATCTCACCCATTCCAACTGTATGACAGCCTTCTCTCTCCCTTACCTCTTCCCTCTATCCCTTCCAGACCTCTCAAGCTGTCAGTACCTAGCCCATCTCTCAAGCTCTGTCATCTTTCCTATCCAGGGTAGCAGACGAGGGTCCTGTGCAATCTCCATCTCCCCATGAGCTTCAGGTGCTGTCACCCTTATCACCACTGAGTCCTGAGCCCCCTGGTGCTCCAGTTCCTCAGCCTCTTCAGCCTGGGAGTCTTCGTTCACCTCCTGATAGTGAGGCTTACTACGGAGAGACTGACAGTGATGCTGATGGTCCTGCCACGCAGGAGAAGCCTCGCCGACCTCGCCGCCGAGGCCCCACAAGGCCCACCCCTCCGGGTGCCCCACCTGATGAGGTCTACCTGTCTGACAGCCCTGCAGAGCCAGTACCTACTATCCCTGGCCCTTCCAGCCAGGGTGACAGCCGTGTGAGCTCCCCATCTTGGGAGGATGGGGCAGCCCTTCAGCCACCCCCAGCTGAGGCTCTGCTGTTACCCCATGGCCCCCTCCGGCCTGGTCCTCATCTCATCCCTATGGTGGGGCCTGTTCCCCACCCGGTGGCAGAAGATCTTACTACCACCTACACCCAGAAGGCCAAGCAAGCCAGTGAGTGCCTGAATCCCTTTTCCCCAGCCAGGATCCTTCAATCTGAGCCTTAAATCTACCCTTCTATAGCCATACATTCTCCCTACCTTGGGCCCCTTGGATACAGTCTTGGGGACAGGAGGAGAAGAGTATGAGTAGAAGGGGAGCATAATTACTCTCATGACCCCCATTATTTTTGCTGTTTGAACCAATGTGGCAAAAGGGTAAGGTGATTCAGTTCAACCAAGGAACAGGGTAAGTAGGGAAATTGGAAAGAGACACAAATAGATGAAGGGTTTGGTGGTGGTGATAACTGTTATTGTGTGTCATGATGGGGTGAAAGCAGAGTACAGACACAAGACAGGGGAGTATTTAAAAGCAGGTTGAAGGCTGGGCAAGGTGGCTCATACCTGTAATCCCAGCACTCTGGGAGGCTGAGGTAGGAGGATAGCATGAACCCAGGAGTTTGTTTTCTTTTTTTTTTTTTTTTTTTTTTTTTTAGATGGGAGTATGGCTCTTGTGCCTAGGCTGGAATGCAATGGCGTGATCTTGGCTCACTGCAACCTCCACCTCCCAGGTTCAAGCAATTCTCCTGCCTCAGCCTCCCGAGTAGCTGGGGTTACGGGCACCTGCTACCACACCTGGCTAATTTTTTGTATTTTTAGTAGAGACGGGGTTTTACCATATTGGTCAGGCTGGTCTCAAACTCCTGACCTCAGGTGATCTGCCTGCCTCGGCCTCCCAAAGTGCTGGGATTACAGGTATGAGCCACCGCTCCTGGCAGAAGCCAGAAGTTTGAGACCAGTCTGGACAACATCGTGAGTCTTTGTCTCCAATAAAAATTTAAAAATTAGCCAAGCACGGTGGCACATGTCTATGGTCCCAGGTACTTGGGAGGCTGAGGCCGGAGGATTGCTTGAGCCTGGGAGGTTTAGGCTGCAGTGAGCCATGTTTGCACCACTGCACTCCAGCATGAGCAACAGACCAAGACCCTGTCTTAAAAATAAATAAATAAATAATAAAAATTAATAAATAAAAGTGGGTCAAAGCTACAGGGGTTCTTTTTTTTTTTTTTTCTTTTTTTTTCTTTTTGAGGCAGAGTCTTGCACTGTCACCCAGACTGGAGTGCAATCTTGGCTCACTGCAACCTCTGCCTCCTGGGTTCAGGCGATTCTCCTGCCTCAGCCTCCCAAGTAGCTGGGATTAAAGGTGCCTGCCACCATGCCTGGCTAATTTTTTGTATTTTTAGTAGAGACGGGGTTTCACTACGTTGGCCAAGCTGGTCTTGAACTCCTGACCTCGTGATCCATCTGCCTCAGCCTCCCAAAGTGCTGGGATTACAGGCATGAGCCAAGGGGTTCTTTCTAGTGTTACTTGCAGGTACCTTTGACATTTGCAAGTTCCGTTAGGATTCCTGGGGACTGAGAGGCTATGGGATGATCATGAGATCCCGGGGAAGTGGCAGAGGGAGGGAGCTTTGGCTTTGGCTCCTTATCTCAGGCAAGAATGTTGGCCTGGGCAGAAAAAGCCCATTCCACTTATCTCAGGCTCTTTGCTATTTTTGATGTGAGCGACAGAACAAGGTCTAAGGGTAAACTTTCTCCCTACTCTATGCCTCCTGTGCCTTTCCCACAGAGACCGTTCTTGTTACCTCTGAAATCTCAGGATTCCCCCTCTAGTTATATTTCTTTCCTTTCCTCCACCATTTTGATTCCTGATCCTTAGAACTTTGTATCTCTCAGTTTGGAGTGGAGGCTAAGGACATGAGAGTTGAGAGTCTGACATCCCTGAGTGTCCAATATCCTAGGAATTCCAGATGTGTGCCTAGGATCCCATGCTTTCCTCAATTCTCCACTTATCTCCCCCTCCCTTCCCATAATGCTGGATGAGACTGTAGCTACTGGCTCAGAGGTATTTTTAGTCAAGCAGACCTCATTGTCTGCTGGGGTGGGGTTGGGGGAAGGGAAAGCAGGTGCCCACGTCCATCACACCGGCACTTGTGGGGCAGCCCAGAGAAGGGACAGGGCCAGGTTCCAAAAATAGCACAGTGAGCTCATTCAGCTGCCAGCTCTGGGGACAAGACAAAGGGGCTTTAAAAGGCGTGGGGGTGGCTCAAGCTGGTCCTGCTCCAGCCAACACTGCCTTTCTCAGCATGGAGACCTTTGAGCCCATCAGCCAAGAGCCCCTCAGCCAAGTCAGCTACGACAAAGCCCCAGACCCAGTTCCTGAGCTCCAAGACTCATTCTATGCAGGTACTACCCTCCCATATCTATGAGAGTCTGGGGTCTAGAATGGAGGGGAAGATGTCAACAGTTTAGGAAGGGCAGTCTTTGGGAAAGGTCTTACTCTCTTGTTCCTTCCTTTTTGCTGTCCTCTTCCTCCTTTTCTCAGGAGAGTTTCACTGACCCTTTCTCAGTGATGCTATGATCACATGTCAAAGGGGTTTGTGACCACAAGAGCTGTAGAAAACTCATGGGAACAGAGTGTGTATGAGTACATTATGAATACATGAAGGCATGTATGTGTGAGTCGTGGGACAAGATATGTGTGAACAAGAAAGTGTCCATATAAAGAAAGTATAGTGTCAAGAAGGCTTTAATAGTAATGGTTATAGTGGGCCTTCACACTGTGTTAAGTGCTAAATTTACTATATTATCTCAGTTAATCCTTATAGCAATCCTATGAGGTAGCCATTGTCTACCCTCGTTTACAGATGAGGAAACCGAACTTTAATGAGGTGAGGTAACTCTCCCAAGAACCAAAACCCTGAACTGAACTCTGACTCCAGGGCCTGTTGTCTCATCCACAGCACTATTCTGAGGTATAAACGCTGGGATGACAGGAATGACAAAAATGAAAAAAATTCCATCTACTTTCCACTCAAGGTACCACGCTCATTACAAAGGAGCTCATTACAAAGGAGCGTGGTACCTTGAGTGGAAAGTAGATGGAATTTCAATAATTTTTCAGGAGGAACTGGGGACCATGGACCAGAGAGTATCCATGTGCAAGGCGGGGTCCTCGCAGCAGGGCAGACTCTCCCATTTCCTGGCCCCACCTACCCAGGCCCCACATGGCATGGAAAGCCCTGCCCTGGTTCCCTTTAGCACATTGTCCTTGTGTGCCTGGATGGCAGTGGCTGCCTGAGCTCTCTACATAGAGACAGTTCTGACCCCCAAAGAAGCCCACGCCACTACCATCCCCAGCTTGGGGGAAATAATATATTTAGCTGGTGACCTTGAGGTATCCTAAAGATTTGGAGTGTTGCCTTGGAGAACATTACCCTGACTTCTCCTGCGTCTTGGATGGAGACTACCCCTGACTGTGAGTAGCAGAGGTGTGAAGCCCAGACGACTGCCTTGGCAGTTGGAAGGCCGAGATAAACTTTAGAATTCTGTCTACACTGTTAGTAACAGGGTTTCTGCAGGGAGGTCTCTGGGATGAAGGGCCACCTAGAGCATGTAGGTGTGTGAATGTATTTGAGTGATGGTGTTTTTACATGGGCACGTGTATTTACATATATGTATGTGAATGGAGCTGTATGTAAGCTGGGGTATATGTGAATGAGAGAGAAAAGTAAATAGGAGAAAGTACGCCTACAGTTGACTTTCACTAGACGGCTATTCTTGTTGAAGTGTTGTGTGGTAGGAGTTATTTCTGTGAATGTGTATGATGTGGATTGCATGAGGGGGGTGGAATTGTCAATGAAGATCCTCATTGCTAAGGGTTCTTTGTGTCCATATCATAGGGGTAAGGGGTAGCAGAGAGGATGAGTCGTAAGCTTCATGAGAAGCCTCCTAACGTGGTCCCTATGGTGGGTGGAAAGTGTTCCTTCTCATCTTTCCTCTCCCTGGGACCTGCTTCTCTCTCTGTCTGCCATGGAGAGTGACACATCTTTCTCCTCCCCTTCCCATTGCCAGTCAGGAATGGGAGGTAGGTGAGGAATGTGTGTGGGGTGGATAAGAGCACATCTCTTGGAAGATAGGAGCAGAATAGCAGTAAGATGGGATGGAAGGGCTGTGGTCAGAGCAGTGTCAGGGCAGTCAACTGGACTTTGCCTTATCTTTAACTGTCCTTGGTTTCACCTTTCACCCTCCACTCTGCCCCTAAGTCAGAGGACTTTGTCACAGGGGACATTGTGGGTCGGGCCAGTGCAAGAGGGAGCTTGCTGGGATGGGAGGTGAAAGCCTTGGGGAACAGGACTAGAAGAGGCTGGGAAGACCCATTGACCATTTTACTTCTTGGCCTCCCCAGAACTGCAACGTGCAGAGAGCCTCCAAGAGAAAAGCATAAAAGAGGCCAAGACCAAATGCAGGACAATTGCATCCCTGCTCACTGCAGCCCCCAACCCCCACTCCAAAGGGGTGCTTATGTTTAAGAAACGGCGGCAGAGAGCCAAGAAGTACACTCTGGTGAGCTTCGGGGCTGCTGCTGGGACGGGCGCTGAGGAGGAGGACGGCGTTCCCCCAACGAGTGAGTCGGAGCTGGACGAAGAAGCCTTCTCCGACGCCCGCAGCCTCACCAATCAATCTGACTGGGACAGTCCCTATCTGGACATGGAGCTTGCCAGGGCGGGCTCAAGAGCATCAGAGGGCCAGGGCTCTGGGCTGGGAGGGCAGCTGAGTGAGGTCTCTGGGCGAGGGGTGCAGCTCTTTGAACAGCAGCGCCAGCGCGCAGACTCCAGCACCCAGGAACTGGTGCGGGCCGAACCAGCAGCCATGCTCAACGGGGAGGGCCTGCAGCCACCACCTCGGGCCCAGAGTGCTCCCCCAGAAGCGGCTGTGCTCCCACCCAGCCCCTTGCCGGCCCCTGTAGCCAGCCCCAGACCCTTCCAACCAGGTGGTGGAGTCCCGACCCCAACTCCAAACATCTTTAACCGGTCAGCTAGGCCCTTTACCCCGGGCCTACAAGGGCAGCGGCCAACTACGACCTCGGTTATTTTCCGGCCTTTAGCCCCCAGGAGGGCCAACGACAGCCTGGGGGGCCTCAGCCCCGCCCCACCCCCCTTCTTGTCTTCTCCGCAGGGGCCCACCCCTCTGCCCAGCTTCACGTCAGGGGTTCCCAGTCACGCACCAGACTCTGGTTCCCCCAGCGCCTCACGCTCCTCGGGCCCTGTGACAGCCACCAGCTCCCTGTACATCCCAGCCCCCAGTCGGCCTGTCACTCCAGGCGGAACCCCAGAGCCCCCCGCTCCTCCTAGCGCAGCTGCCATGACCTCCACAGCTTCTATCTTCCTATCTGCGCCTTTGCGACCCTCTGTGCGCCCAGAGATGCCTGCCCCAGGCCCAGGGGCTCCTGAGCCCCCCAGCGCTCGGGAGCAGCGCATCTCTGTGCCAGCTGCCCGCACGGGTATCCTGCAGGAGGCCCGGCGCCGGGGGACCCGGAAGCAGATGTTCCGGCCGGGAAAGGAGGAGACGAAGAACTCGCCCAACCCCGAGCTGCTATCGCTGGTACAGAACCTGGATGAAAAGCCCCGGGCCGGAGGTGCAGAATCTGGTCCTGAGGAGGATGCTCTGAGCCTCGGGGCTGAAGCCTGCAACTTCATGCAGCCAGTAGGGGCCAAGAGTTACAAGACCCTGCCTCCCGTGACACCTAAGACCCCTCCTCCAATGGCTCCCAAGACCCCGCCCCCTATGACTCCTAAGACTCCACCCCCAGTGGCTCCTAAGCCCCCATCTCGAGGGCTCCTTGATGGGCTCGTGAATGGGGCAGTCTCTTCAGCTGTAATCCCTGAGCCACCAAGGCTGCAGGGCAGGGGTGGGGAGCTATTTGCTAAGCGGCAGAGCCGTGCGGACAGGTATGTGGTGGAAGGTACACCTGGTCCTGGTCTTGGCCCTCGGCCTAGAAGTCCTTCTCCTACCCCGTCTCTGCCCCCTTCCTGGAAATATTCACCCAACATCCGTGCCCCACCTCCTATTGCTTACAACCCACTGCTCTCTCCCTTTTTCCCCCAGGCGGCCCGAACTCTCCCTAAGGCCCAATCCCAGGGGCCTCGGGCAACACCCAAGCAGGGCATCAAGGCTCTAGATTTTATGCGGCATCAGCCCTATCAACTTAAAACTGCCATGTTCTGTTTTGATGAGGTTCCCCCGACTCCTGGCCCTACCGCCTCAGGGCCCCCCAAAACTGCCCGAGTCCAGGAGATTCGCCGGTTTTCCACTCCGGCGCCCCAGCCCACTGCAGAACCCCTGGTTCCCACTGTGCTTGCCCCGCGAGCAGCCACTACACTGGATGAGCCCATCTGGAGAACAGAGCTGGCCTCAGCCCCTGTTCCTAGCCCAGCCCCTCCTCCAGAGTCTCCCAGGGGCCTTGGGGCTTCTCCCAGCTCCTGTGGTTTCCAGGTAGCCAGGCCCCGATTCTCAGCCACCAGAACAGGATTGCAGGCTCATGTGTGGAGGCCTGGGGCAGGGCACCAGTGAGCAGGCACAGGTCCCAGGACCAAGGAGAGGTGGAACATCCAGTTCCTAAAGTTGCTTCTCCTACCCTATCCCACCCCCTGTCACTGGCATCTGGAAGCTAAATTGCCTCATGCCAGAGATAGTTTCCAAGTTGATGTCCCCATCCCCCACCTTCCTCCTCACTCTCTACCTCCCTGCCGCTTTCCAACCATGTCTGCTTTGGTATCTTTGCCTCTCTTTGTCTCTGCATTTCCTTGCCTGGATCTCTGTCTTTATTTCCAGACTTCTCCACCCGTATTCCTCCACAGATCTCTCTTCCTTGACATTTGTGCTTTTCTCCGTGGGCCTCATTTTAATGTTCAGTGAGAAGTAAACAGAGCAGAAGTGACCACTGGGACCTTAAGCAAGAAGCTCACCACCAGGCACACAGCAAAGGGACTGAACTGACCGTTGTTTGCCCTAAGCCACCCTCACCCCCTACTCTGCTTTCCCAAGCTTGGCTGGCATATACCTAGGCCTGTGTGTGTGTGCGCGCACAGATGTGCTCTTCCGTCTGAGGCATGAGTAAGAGAGGAGGTCAAAATAAAGACCCAATCTGAGTCTTATTGTTGTACTGATAGAAGGGTCAGATATCCCCACATGGAGTTGAGTGGGAGAAAGAGATTCGCTAGAGAATAACTCCTTAGAGACCAATGTCTGTAGCAGGTGTCCAGCATCTTGTGAAAGTTATGGAGCATGAAAAGACTGAAGGGCCAGGAAAGTTTGCATGGGCTGAGTTGTATCAGCTAGACCAGGAATAGAACAAATAATTCTATTCCTCAGGATTTCAGAAAGTTAGCAACTTGAGAGGCCAGTGCTGAGCAAACCAGTACCCAGGAAATGAAAAAAAAGAAAATTCCCTATGAGAATGAACAGATCATTGGCTTCATTGCCTCATGAGCTTGAGAGAAAGGAGAAGAGAGTCAGAGTGTGGAGAGTGAGGCTGAAACCAGAAGCATGGCAGAAATGAGTTTAAATGATTGAGCCACAGACAGAAGTATGGTGAGGGACAATGCCATATTGGGAAAAAGTAAAGTTGGGTAACAAGAAACCAACTGTGTGTGAGAAGGGAATTGGAAAAAAAATTTGAGGGAGAAGAATGTATTTGTTAGAATGGAAGGGGATAATGGCAGAAGGGAGGTGTGAGGGTGTGTGCTGAGTGTTGGAAGAACAGTTGGTGTCTGTGTGACTTTCCTTGAGTCTGTCCTTCAGTGTGTCTTCTACAGCTTGCCATGACTACCTCGGAAAAAGCAGAGAAACACCCAGAAACCTCTTTTCAGTACCACCCCATCCCTCAAAACCCCAGCTCTTGCTTCTTTTCAGCTTCAGGTCCTGATCTCTGATCTTAGAGGAGTGTGGACTCCCTTCTCACCAAGACCACCATCAGCTACGTTTGCCGTTTAATCTGGAAAGTGATAATTTTCCTTTGCTTGTTGGGTGTGAGTCACAATACTTTGGTTTGTGCACAAGAATAAATTTATGCCCCATACCTTCTGTTGCTGTTATCTTCTAGTTTTATACCTAAATCCTGATCTCTCCTTGATCTTCTTTAACCCATTCCCCGATCTGATTTCCGATCTGTCTCTATTCCTGTCCTCCCATTTTTCACCCTTTTGCCCTTTGTTCCCAGTTCTTTTGCTCTTTTCTACCAATTCTGTCCTGCTCTGATTTAGCCACCTCCATCACTCTTCTTGGTTCCCTCTCCCCATAGTCTTCATCCAAATTCTCCCCTTTCCTTCCCTTGCCTCATACTTTCCAGGCAAGGCCTCAGTTCACAAAACTCAGAGAAGTTGGAAAGGCCCTCTGAGCCCTTTGCCGTCAATATTTCCTTGCTCCTTAGAGGAAGCAACCATATTAAACAGTCTCTGGGAATTAAATGGAGAGAAAGCAACAGCTGGAGGGGAACGTGGGATGGGAGAGGGAAGAAGAAAGGTGAATTGAGACTACTAAAGAAGGGAGGGCATTAGAGGTAGGTGAGAATTAAAGACTTCAGAGAAGGAAAGTGCCATTGCTCCTATTCTGCCAGCAGAGGGCATGTTTGTGCCAATAATCAGACCCAGGCTGCAGACTCTCCCAAGTGCACTATCTCCTAATCCCAAAGAAAGATCTCAGAGACCATAGGCTAAATAGCCTGTCTTCACCCACTCAGTCGTTTAGGGTACTCAGTTGAAGGAGATCAAACTTTCAGTTTGTTTTTGGTTTTGAGGGTGAGGGTGGTTGTGATGATGAAGTCAGTCACCTTTCGCTATTTATATTTCTTCTTCTTCTTTTTTTTTTTTTTTTTGAGATGGCGTCTCCCTCTGTGGCCCAGGCTGGAGTGCAGTGGGTGCAATTTCAGCTCACTGCAACCTCTGCTTCCTGGGTTCAAGTGATTCTCCTGCCTCAGCCTCCCGGGTAGCTGGGATTACAGGCACGCGCCACCATGCCTGGCAAATTTTTGTGTGTGTGTGTGTGTGTGTGTGTATATATATATATATATATATTTTTTTTTTTTTTTTTTTTTTTTTTTTTTTTTTTTTTTTTTTGAGACGGAGTCTTGCTCTGTCACCCAGGCTGGAGTGCAGTGGCCGGATCTCAGCTCACTGCAAGCTCCTCCTCTCGGGTTCACGCCATTCTCCTGCCTCAGCCTCCTGAGTAGCTGGGACTACAGGCACCAGCCACCTCGCCCGGCTAGTTTTTTGTATTTTTTAGTAGAGACAGGGTTTCACCGTGTTAGCCAGGATGGTCTCGATCTCCTGACCTCGTGATCCGCCCGTCTCAGCCTCCCAAAGTGCTGGGATTACAGGCTTGAGCCACCGCGCCCGGCCTAATTTTTGTATTTTTAGTAGAGCTGGGGTTTCACTATGTTGGCCAGGCTGGTCTTGAACTCCTGACCTCAAGTGATCCACCCACCTCAGCCTCCTAAAGTGCTGGGATTACAGGCATGAGCCAACGTGCCCGGCCTATTTTTTCTTCTAATTTTTTTCCTTGGGTTGGGAGGGAATGGAGGAGGACAAAAGATGAGGGGTCTGGAGGCATAACTGGCCTGGGCAGAAGCCAACTGGGAGGGGATACCTTTTAGGGTCTCCACAGGATGGAAAAAGGACATGGTCAGGAAGAGTAAAGAGTGCAGAAAGGGACAAAGGAAGCTACAAAAGCCAGTTCCTGGTGTACCTGTAGTCCCAGCTACTCAGAGGCTGAGGTAGGAGGATCACTTGTGCCCAGGTGTTTGAGTCCAGCCTGGGCAACATAGTGAGACCCCATCTCTAAAATAAAGAAATAATTTTTTAAAAAGCCAGCTAGGCACAGTGGCTGATGCCTGCAATCCTAGCACTTTGGGAGTCTAAGACAGGAGGATTGCTTGAGCCCAGGAGTTTAAGACCAGCCTCGGCAACATAGCAAAACCCTGTCTCTACAAAACATATGAAAATTAGCTGGGTGTGGTGGCATGTACCAGCAGGCCTGGCTACCTGGGAGGCTGAGGTCGAAAGATTACCTGAGCCTGTGGAGGCTGAGGTTGCAGTGAGCCCAAATTGTGCCACTGCACTTCAGCACAGGCAACAGAGTGAGACCCTGTCTCAAATAAATAAACAAAGCCACTTCCTCAGGTAGCAGCAACAGGGTGGTAGTGGCTGCAGCAGAAGTGCTGCCACAGCTGGTTCCAGAATCTAAGCAGAAGGTGGAGGAAGATCATGCAGCTACTGAAGACGGAGCTGGGCAAATGATAGGCTTTCCCCAAGGGGGACTCTGAAGCTTGTGACCCTGCCCAGAAACTCTGCTGGAACAGTACAAATGGCACAGTCCAGATCCTATGTGGTATGTGCTCCCTTTGAAGGAAATATCACATAGAAACCTCAGAGAGCCTATATGTGCTTCTCATGGAGAAATCGATGTCTATCCCGCCCAGCAGGTTGAGCTGAGCACCTCAACAGCAAATGGAGGTTAAAAGGCAGATCCTGGCTGGGCATGGTGGCTAGAGAATAACTCCTTAGAGACTAGATCCTGGCAGTGGCTCACGCCTGTAATTCTAGCACTTTGCGAGGCCGAGGCAGGTGGATCACCTGAGGTCAGGAGTTTGAGACCAGCCTGGTCAACGTAGTGAAACCCCATCTCTACTAAAAATACAAATATTAGCTGGGCATGGTGGCAGACACCTATAATCCCAGCTACTCAGTAGGCTGAGGCAGGAGAATCGCTTGAATCCGGGAGGTGGAGGTTGCAGTAAGCCGAGATCGCACCATTGCACTCCAGCCTGGGCAACAAGAGTGAAACTCCATCTCAAAAAAAAAAAAAAAAAAAAAGGCAGATCCAAGTATTTGCCTTTTCTTAAAACTGCCAGAGCTCAAGAGGAAAGAATAGAGTGAGGCAGACAGAATAATTGTCAAGTATTCCCCACATAATTCCTTTGTAGGAGGTACTGGGTTTGCTATCCAGGAACTTTAAAAGAGCAGTTCCATTGTGAAGACTTCCCTTTTTGTCCCCAAACATAGAGCTTTAAGCCCTCCCTGCCCCAAATACACCCACAGGTCTCTCTACTCTGCCTTGGATTGGCTCTGTGTGGCCCTCAGGGCATGTTCCCCAGACTCTCTCTCTGACTGAATTCCTATCCAATACTTGCTGTCTACTTCCTGTCTCCCTCTCAGTCTTCAGTTTCTACCTAAGTGCTTGTTTGGATCTCAGGCTCTAGGTGCAATGTGAAGGGGAGTCCCTGGGCAGACTGATTCCTGGCTCAGACAGTTCAGTGGGGGAATCCCAAAGGCCTTTTCCCTCCTTCCTGAGCCTCTAGGCAAAGAGGGAGGGATCTTGGTTTCAGGGTCTCAGTACCCCCTGTGCCATTTGAGCTGCTTGCACTCATCATCTCTATTAATAACTAACTTCCCTCCCCCACTGCCAGTGCTGCCCCCACGCCTGCCCAGCTCGTGTTCTCCGGTCACAGCAGCTCAGTCCTCCAAAGCTGCTGGACCCCAGGGAGAGCTGACCACCGCCCGAGCAGCCGGTAAGTCTGCAGCTCTATCGTTAGAAAGGTTGGAGCCCACTCTGTTGACTTCTATTTCTGTGTCTACAATTGTGATTCTTGATCCTGGGGGAGTCTCCCCTCTCCTCATCTATGCTCAGCTCCCAGCTGTCCAGTTGGAAGGAGGGGGCCCAGGAGTTTGGGGGGAATGGAGATGTCGGGGGAGGCACTGGAAGAATGGGAAGGGAGACCCCACTAAGTCAGTAGAGTTGCAGATGTATTTTTGTGAGACAGGACTTAGAAGAGGACAGCATTTCACTGAGTGCCAACTTCTCTTAAGAAGGGACTGGAGTCTATCTTATCCCAGTTTGTCCCTTTCCATTGCCAGATCCTATTACTATGTTTCTGCCCCACCCCAATTCCCCACTGCTATGATATTGCTGAATTTACATGTGTTGGGATTTGGATGCTCCCTACCCTTCCCAATTCCACACCTGCCCCACTCTGGGGTCTGTGGCGGGAGTGATTGCAGGAGCAGGGCCATGACTTCCCAGGCCATGTTCCAGCTGGCCTGATGAAGGAGCAACAACCTCTCCTTCCTATGGAGAGTGTTTTTGGCTGAATCTCTTCAACCCTGGCAGAACATTTCTCTGTCCTCCTGGGGACTGGGGGAAGACTGAAGAGAGACCAGAGCCTGGAATCACAGGCCCAGTCTGATATCCCAATGCAAATAAAAACTTCAAATCATGCCAAGTTGATGAAACCTGGGTGCATTGCCCTGCCTGTATTATTGTTTGTTTGTTTTTTTTTTTAAAAACACTCGCCACGCCTAGCTATGTTCCTAATTCTTGCACTGACTCTATAAAAACCAGCTCACAACAAGTTGGTAGACAATAGGGGCTGGTGTGCATCTATACTCCCTGTCCTGCATCCCAGGAAAAGAGAAGCCCTAAAGCACTAGTTTTCACCTTTTGGGGAAATACATACTTCTTTGAAAATCTGGATCAGGTGAAGTGGCTCGTCCCTGTAATCTCAGCACTTTGGGAGGCAGGAGGACTGCTTGAGCCCAGGAGTTTGAGGCCAGCCTGGGCAACGTGGCAAAACCTCATTTCTACAAAAAAAAAAAAAAAAAAAAATTAGCCAGGCATGGTGATGCACACCTATAGTCCCAGCTACTCGGGAGGCTGAAGTTGGAAGATCACCTGAGCCCAGGGAGGTTGAGGCTGTAGTGAGGCATGATTGTGCCATTGTGCTCCAGCCTGGGCGACAGAGTGCAATCCTGTCTCTAAAAAAGAAAAATATATATTTTTGTGCCATTGCACTCCAGCCTGGGCGACAGAGTGAGATCCTGTCTCTAAAAAAGAAAAAAAAATATTTTTTTGTCACCTCAAGCCCTTAAACCCAGGTTAAGAAGTAGTGCTCTCCTACAGACACTCACTCTTCCCAGTCCCTGTCCATCCTCCAAGTCCTCCTTCCCACCCTATCCAGGCTGAATCCACCTCCACAATGCCGCTCTCAGGAACCCCGGCCCCTAATAAGAAGAGGAAATCCAGCAAGTTGATCATGGAACTCACTGGAGGTAGGACACGTTTGCATCTACCTAGTGTGGGACTTCTTAAGAGCATCCCTAACCCAAGAGCCCCAGAAATATATATCTTAGGGTGAACAGACAAGAGAAATTAACTGGTGGGAAGGCGGGTGATGGAGAGTGGGAGAGGGAAGGGTAAGAAGGGTAGGGAGAAAGAGAGAAAAGATTCAACACCTTCTACCCTTTTTACTTCATAATCTGAGACAATACCCTGCCATGTTACCCTGCACAGGTCCAGGACCACAGGACCCATGAGTCAGTGAGGTATATTTGAGGAAGAAAATATAATGGAGACTGGCACAGACTCAGGTCTCAATAAGTGGTTAATTTCCCTTACTTCTTTCCCCAGAGCTAGGGAGCTTATGTAAGTACTTAAAATGGAAAACTGCACAGGCATGTTTCCCGGGGATGAGCAGGGGTGCATGCATGTGAAGAGCTCTTCAATACTCAGAGACTCTTTGGAGCCAGAGCTCACTGAGGGAAAGAAAAGGGAAAGTAGTTAAGACAGAAGTCTGGGCCAGGTGCAGTGGCTCACGCCTGTAATCGCAGAACTTTGAGAGGTCAAGGCTGGTGGATCGCTTGAACTCAGGGATTTGAGACTGGCCTGGGCACATGGTGAAACCTCGTCTCTACAAAAGTACAAAAATTAGCCAGGTATAGTGGCATGCACCTAGAGTCCCAGCTACTCCAGAGGCTGAGGTGGGACGATCGCTTGAACCTGGGAGATGGAGGCTGCCGTGAGCTGTGATTGCGACACTACACTCCAGCCTGGGTGTCAGAGTGAGACTCTGTTTCAATATAAATAATACAAATAGGGCTGGAGCTGTGTCTCACACCTGTAATTCCAGCACTTTGGGAGGCTGAGGTGAGAGGATCACTTGAGCTCAGGAGTTCAAGACCAGCCTGGACAACATAATGAGACCTCATCTCCATTAAAAAAAAAAAAAAAGGCCAGACGTGGTGGCTCAGGCCTGAAATCCCAGCACTTTGGGAGGCTGAGGTGGGCCGATCACCTAAAGTCAGAAGTTGAAGACCAGCCCGGCCAACATGGTGAAACGCTGTCTCTACAAAAATAGAAAAATTACCTGGGCATGGTGCCGAGTGCCTGTAATCCCGGCTACTTGGGAGACTGACGCAGGAGAATCACTTGAACCCAGGAAATGGAAGCTACAGTGAGCTGAGATCGCGCCATTGCACTTCAGCCTGGGTGACAGAGCAAGTCTCTGACAAAAAACCAACCAACCAAACAAACTCTGTCTCAAAAGTAAAATAAAATAAATAAAAATGTAGGCTGGGCGTCGTGACTCACGCCTGTAATCCCAGCATTTTGGGAGGCCGTGGCTGGTAGGTCAGTTGAGCTCAGGAGTTTGAGACCAGCCTGGCCAACATGGTGAAACCCCGTCTCTACCAAAAAATATAAAAATTAGCCAGGGATGGTGGTGCGGGCCTGCAATCCCAGCGACCCAAGAGGTTGAGGCAGGAGAATTGCTTGAACCTGGGAGACGGAGGCTGCAGTGAGCTGAGATCACGCTATTGCACTCTAGCCTGGGTGACAGAGCAGGACTCTGTCTCAAAACAATAAAAAATAATAATAAAAAATAAAAAATATGTATATGTATGGCATCTGTATTTACACTCCACATAAGATTGGCCTCTGGGCTTTTCCTGATGCCATGCTTTCTCCAATGGCCTCCATCTATGATGTTCCTTTACTCCTTTTGCTCTGTACCCCATGCCCATGCCTCTTTTACCCCATTGGCCTCTCCACTCTAGTATTCCCATTATCTCCACAATGCACCCCAGTTCCCATGCATTCTCTCCAAGTCCCAGGAAATCAAAGTCCCTCACAAACTAGACAGCATTTGTTCCCCTAAATGATCTCTGCCAGGACACACATTCACACTTAGTTGTGGATGAGGTCTGCATTCTGAGCCCAGAAAACCCTACTTTCCTCTTTCCCTTGATTCTTCTTTGCCTCCCTGAAAGGTGGACAGGAGGGCTCAGGCTTGAACCTGGGCAAAAAGATCAGTGTCCCAAGGGATGTGATGTTGGAGGAACTGTCGCTGCTTACCAACCGGGGCTCCAAGATGTTCAAACTGCGGCAGATGAGGGTGGAGAAGTTTATTTATGAGAACCACCCTGATGTTTTCTCTGACAGCTCAATGGTGAGTCTGAAACTTTATCACTGTCTCAAAGCCTGGTGCCTGTTCTGACAGCTTGTTAGTAGGCCCTGAGCCTCCAAAATGCAGTCAACATCCCCTCCCTGAAAATTTATAAATTTGTTAAACCCCCAGATATATTGAGCCCTCAGCAGCTCCAGGGTGAGTTACAGCCCACCTCTGAAACCCAGTTTCCATCAAAGAGCCACTGAAGGATTGGAGAATACCACACCCTTAGGGAGAAAATTCCTTCCTAGTAAGGGTAAGTGTTAAAGATAGGTTGCCAGATAAAACACAGGATGCCCAGTGGGGCAGTCTTGTCTTGTATTTTGAAGTTGAGATACACAGTGAATAATTTTTTAGTAAAATATGCTCCATGCAATATTTGGGACATAAAGATAAAGTTTTAAAAATATTTTAGAAAGAACATAAGGCAGCCGGGATGGTGGCTCTCACACCTGTAATCCCAGCACTTTGGGAGGCCGAGGCAGGTGGATCACCTGAGGTCTTTTGAGACCAGCCTGGCCAACATGGTGAAACCCCATCTCTACTAAAAATACAAAAAATTAGCTGGGCGTGGTCGTGGGTGCCTGTGATCCCAGCTACTCAGGAGGCTGAGGTAGGAGAATCACTTGAACCCAGGAGGCGGAGTTGCAGTGAGCCCAGATTGTGCCATTGCACTCCAGCCTGGGCAACAAGAGTGAAACTCTGTCTCAAAAAAAAAAAAAAAAAAAAAAGAAAGAAAGAAAGAAAAAAGAAAGAAGATAAGGCAAATAATTAAATTGAAATTTTAAAATACAGAATACCCAATTAAATTTGAGTTTCAAATGCACAATGAATTCTTTTTTAAATATGTCCCATGCAATATTTGGGACATTAAAATAAAAATACAGGATGTCCACTTAAATTTGAATTTCAGATGCAAATGAATAATTTTTTAGTATAAGTAAATCCCATGCAACATTTGGGGCATATCTATACTAAAAAAGTATTTGGGTCAAGTGTGATACCTCACACCTGTAATCCCAGCACTTTGGGATGCCAAGGCAGGAGGACTGCTTGAGTCCAGGAGTTGGAGACCAGCGTGGGCAACATGGCAAGACTCTGTCTCTACAAAAAATTAAAAAATTAAAAAGTTAGCTGGGAGTGGTGGCACACACCTGTAATCCAGCTACTCTGGAGGCTGAGGTGGGAGGATGGCTTGAGCCTGGGAGGTAGAGGCTGCATGAACATGAGCCATGTTCATGCCACTGCACTCCAGCCTGGGTGACAGAGACTCTGTCTCAAAAATATATATATATTTGTTGTGCATCTGAAATTCAAATTTAATTGGTATCCTGTATATTATTTGCTGAATCTGGCAACCCTAGAAAGAGTTAATTGAGTTTCTACAGCCATCTCCCATTTAAGCCATTCTTTCATTTAAAGGATCAGTCTATTCCCTAAGGAGCCCCAGGTGAGACTGAAACTGTCCTTCAAGATATATTCTAGTCAGGCTCCTTCTCCAAAGAAAGAGGAGACTGGAGAGAGGCCAGGCACAGGATGGTATAGCTGAGGAAGAGGGGCCTTCTCCATTTCCTTTCTTCCTTCTCCACCTTCTCCAAGTGTCTGGGGGAGAGTGGAATTAGATGCCTGCATGGGGCCGGGGGCAGAAGTGTCTGTCATTGGTCCTCATATAGGAGCAGAGTAAAAGTGCTGAGCTGCTCATATCTAACTTTAGGAGGCCAAAAGCCCTCTTCTCTGCCTGGGTCCGGTTACACTGGGTGGAGCATTGGGGTGTACATGGTGGGATGGCCAGGAGAGCCTCCTGAAGAAGTTGGTGGGGTTATTTTTAGGCTTTGGGTTTGAATCTAATGTTGCCCTTTTGGCCACCCTTCCCCCCACCTGCTACAGTTTCAGTCAGGAAGTCCTGGTCCAACAGGCACCAAGAGGAGAGAGGGAGAGAAAGAAGGAGAGAGAAGAGAGTTCTGACTGTTGGACAAGCTGAGGAAGGGAGGAGGCAGAAATTTCTCTAGTCCTTGTAATTAAGACTGGGTTCTCCATGGCAACCCCATCCTCCCAAATTCTAGTTGGGGCCGCGCACAGCTCATGCCTGTTATCTCAGCACTTTGGGAGGCTGAGGCAGATGGATCACTTGAGCCCAGGAGTTCGAGACCAGCCTGGGCACATGGCAAACCCTGTCTCTAGGAAAAAAAATTACAAAATTTAGCTGGGTATGGTGGCATGCTGGTAGTCCCAGCTACTTGGGAGGCTGAGGTGGGAGGATTGCCTGGGCCAGGGAGGTGGAGGTTGCAGTGGGCCGAGATTGTGCCACTGCACTCCAACCTGGGGTGACAGAGCCAGATTCTGTCTCAAAAAGCAAAATATTTTTTTTCATTTTTTTTTTTAAAGTTGGGCAGGAATCTTGGTCTTTTTTGACTTGTTAAGGATGAGAAAGGGGAACATGGAGAATGCCCTGCCCTTACCCTAGGTATAACTGGAGGAAACGAGCCAAGGGGGTCCTACCTCTTAAGAAGAGTTTAATTTAGGCCAGGTGAGGTGGCTCATGCCTGTAATCCCAGCACTTTGGGAGGCCGATGCAGGCGGATCCCCTGAGGTCGGGAGTTTGAGACCAGCCTGACCAACGTGGAGAAACCCTGTCTCTACTAAAAATACAAAATTAGCCAGGTGTGATGGTGCATGCCTGTAATCCCAGGTACTTGGGAGGCTGAGGCTGAGGCTGGGAACTGCTTGAACCCAGGAGGCGGAGGTTGCAGTGAGCCGAGATCATATCATTACACTCCAGCCTGGGCAACAGGGGTGAAACTCTGTCTCAAAAAAACAACAAAAAAATCAAACCAACAAAAAGAAGAGTTTAATTCTGTCAGTCAGCCCATGTACTACCCATCAAATGGAGGGGGAAATCTCAGAAAATTCAGGGTCTTCTTGTTAGACACTGTTTCTGCCTTTGCTAAACATACTTCTGTTTTTGTATATTTTCCATACCCATTGCTAACCTTCCCCTCACTTTGTCTTCTTTTCAGGATCACTTCCAGAAGTTCCTTCCGACAGTGGGGGGACAGCTGGGCACAGCTGCTCAGGGATTCTCCTACAGCAAGAGCAACGGCAGAGGTGGCGGCCAGGCAGGGGGCAGTGGCTCTGCAGGACAGTATGGATCTAATCAGCAGCACCATCTGGGCTCTGGGTCTGGAGCTGGGGGTACAGGTGGTCCTGTGGGCCAGGCTGGCAGAGGAGGAGCTGCTGGCACAGCAGGGGTTGGTGAGACAGGATCAGGCAAGTACACCTACCCAAGAGTAATGTGTTTGGTCCCTAGAGCAGAGTTGTCCCAGGAATGATGTCTACACTGGGTGTGGGGAGCAGAGGAGCCCGGTTTAAATATCTTAATATTAAATATAATAATATCAGTTTATCATAAATATCTTGGTGAATTCCCTGGGTCCAGGAGTATATAGAGATGTGTCTATTCTACCCAGAAGCCTTGTTTTTCCATTACCTTCCTGGCTTTTTGGATTCAGTCACAGATCTGCCCACAGACTATCATTATGCCACAAACCTTATACAATTACCAAGATATTATATCTTTAGTCCCTGGCTCCTGCAATTTCCCTAGTGTAGGGACGTGGGATTAACTTTCATTGGCTACTAACTCCTCTTATTTGACTGACTTTTCTCTCTCATGGCTACCAGGAGACCAGGCAGGCGGAGAAGGAAAACATATCACTGTGTTCAAGACCTATATTTCCCCATGGGAGCGAGCCATGGGGGTTGACCCCCAGCAAAAAGTGGAACTTGGCATTGACCTGCTGGCCTATGGGGCCAAAGCTGAACTTCCCAAATATAAGTCCTTCAACAGGTAGGGGTGGTGAGGAAGGAACCAGATGCATTCTAATGTGAGGCACTGTGTCTTTAGTTAGGATGGAGACTAATTCAAATGTTTCAGAAGGCGGTTAAGGAAAGATGGCAGGGATATGGGGGTGCTAATCAAAGGCCCTGCTCTTTTCACTCTATCTCAGCTTCATCATAGCAGTGTGATGAAGGAAAAATTTGCTGGGAGGTAGATTTGAATTCTAGTTCAATGGTCATCTATTAGCTATGTAGGCATGAGGAAATCACTCTACCTCTGAGCCTGGGTTGCTTTGAATGTTAAATGGGAATAATATTTTACATGTCTGAAGGCCTGTTGAGGCTGTCTTCCAGTCAAGGTTAGGATGCCATTATTCTCCCTGTAATATGATTCTATTTCCTTATACCCTGCTTTATTTATTTACTTATTGAGATTCAGTTTTGCTCTTGTCGCCCGGGCTGGAGTGCAGTGGCATGATCTTGGCTCACTGCAACCTCTGCCTCCTGGGTTCAAGTGATTTTCCTGCCTCTGTCTCCCTAGTAGCTGGGATTACAGGCGCATGCCACCACGCCCAGCTAATTTTTGTGTTTTTAGTAGAGGTGGGGTTTCACCATGTTGGCCAGGCTGGTCTCGAACTCCTGACCTCAGGTGATCTGCCTGCCTCGGGCTCCCAAAGTGCTGGGATTGCAGGCATGAGCCACCATGCCCGGCCACCCTGCTTTAGATGGCCCTAAGTATCTGTTCTTTTGGATTAGGCTTCTCTAGCCCATGGAGAGGAGGTCTGTGTGAAAGGATAGGGAAGAGCTAGAAAGGTGCTCTTGTATTTGGTCCTAAGGAACCTGGATTTTCCAGGCAACATTAGTTGCTCTCAGCCAGGTCATCCACTATCCACTAGGGTTGGAGGGAGGGGGTCTCTACATTGTAATTTTTTTTTTTTTTTTTTGAGACAGAGTCTTGCTCTGTTACCCAGGCTGGAGTGCAGTGGTGCAATCTTGGCTCACTGCAACCTCCACCTCCTGGGTTCAAGCAATTCTTACACCTCAGCCACCTGAGTAGCTGGGATGACAGGTGTGCACCACCATGCCCAGCTAATTTTTTTTTTTTCTGTATTTTTAGTAGAGATGGTGTTTCACCATGCTGGCTGGGCTGGTCTCAAACTCCTGGTCTCAAGTGATCTGCCCACATTGGCCTCCCAAAATGCTGGGATTACAGGTGTGAGCCACCGCACCTGGCCTTTCTACATTGTCATGTAAGGTGACCTCAGACCCTTGGGTCTATAGTATTTGGGGTCACTTTCTCTGAAATGCTGGTCTGGGTCACAGCTATCCAAGAGTCTCTATTTAGTACACACTAGAGTCCTTTTCTCATTATTAGCTTTGGGGAAACAAGTTAACCAGGAAGGCAAAATGGGATGCTAGGGAAGAAGAAAGAGTACAGATGCAATCCCAAACTAGAATTCCCAGACTTCCCTATTCTCAAAGAGGGTAGCATCTCATGATAAGGCTCTGTTTCTTTTATTCTGATTCTTAATTAAATAATGTGTTCCCTTCTCAGGACGGCAATGCCCTATGGTGGATATGAGAAGGCCTCCAAACGCATGACCTTCCAGATGCCCAAGTTTGACCTGGGGCCCTTGCTGAGTGAACCCCTGGTCCTCTACAACCAGAACCTCTCCAACAGGCCTTCTTTCAATCGAACCCCTATTCCCTGGCTGAGCTCTGGGGAGCCTGTAGACTACAACGTGGATATTGGCATCCCCTTGGATGGAGAAACAGAGGAGCTGTGAGGTGTTTCCTCCTCTGATTTGCATTGTTTCCCATTTCTGGCTCCAATTTGGAGAGGGAATGCTGAGCAGATAGCCCCCATTGTTAATCCAATATCCTTATGGGAATGGAGGGAAAAAGGAGAGATCTACCTTTCCATCCTTTACTCCAAGTCCCCACTCCACACATCCTTCCTCACCAACTCAGAGCTCCCCTTCTACTTGCTCCATATGGAACCTGCTCATTTATGGAATTTGCTCTGCCACCAGTAACAGTCAATAAACTTCAAGGAAAATGAACTCATTCTTCCTCTGATATTTGAGGGCAGATGAAAGCTGAGGCTAACAAGGCACAGAGACTAATTTAAGCCAAATATTAAACATTCATTATGCAAACTTTAAGACAGACCTGAGCTCCAGTTGCTTACACACCTGCACCCATACCCACAAAACCACATTCATATTTGTGTACAAAGACATTAATTCAATAGTACATGAGACAAATAATCATGCACAAACACATGTGCCGGCCCGAATGTTGGCAAAGCTAAAAAGCTGCTGTGCACTGTAGTTGGGAAATAGGTGTTGGTGACCCTGGTGTTCACCCTCTTTATGTAGTTGATTAGAAGCTGGTATAATCAGGGTTATCTTGATTGTCACAGACTAGAGCATGCCATAAAGTTTCCAGATGACACCCAAGTGGGCTTAGGAATATACATGTCAAAGGTTACACATTCCCAAAAGGATGAAATAGAATAGGGGCCATGTGGAATCCAGAAGGAAATGCGAGAAACCAGCTACAGTTATAGTATGCCAGGCTCTGTGTTGAACACAGCAAGAAAATATCTAAGGGTTACAAGGGCACTACAGTGGTACCCAGAAAGCAGTATGGTTGGGAATAAATCTTACGAGCCCAATAGGAATGCGCAATAATATTCTTTTTGCTGATTTCAAGGATGGGGACTCTTTAAGAGTCCCAGGCTTACTGCCATGTTCCACAAAGTAAGAATAATGCAGACCAGGAAGAATGAAAACATAGTAATCAGATCTGAGAAAATAACTTCTAAGGAGAGCTGGCTGAATTCAGTCAACTCCATGAGCTGCTAATGGTTAGATTAAGTTGCCAGAATCTGCATTAGATGGATCACATTTTAGTGCACCTTGGGTCAAATGGCATTTACCCTGGTCATCTTCACTTATAATCTAATGAGCAAATTCCAGGGAATTCATACCGCCTCTAAAGTATTTTTATTTCATTTTATTTTTTTTTGAGATAGGGTCTCACTCTGTCGCCAAGACTGGAGTGCAGTGGCACAATCTTAGCTCACTGCGGTCTCCACCTCTCAGGTGCAAGTGATTCTCTCACTTCACACCCCCAAGTAGCTGGCACTACAGGAACTCGCCACCATACCTGGCTAATTTTCTGTATTTTTTGTAGAGACAGGGTTTCGCCACGTTGCCCAGGCTGGTCTTGAACTCCTGAGTTCAAGCAATCTGCCTGCCTTGGCCTCTCAAAGTGCTAGGATTATAGGCACGAGCCACCACGCCTGGCCTACCTCCTCTAAACTTGTAATCAAAACTCTGTACCTTTTCCTTTTTTTTTTTTCATAGATTTCTGCTGTTTATG